GGCAAATCGAGGGTAGCGGACTGTGGGGCGACAGTGCTTGGCAAGATGACCTAGACGCCAATAATTCTGACATTGATGTGGTCGGAACTCTCCGCCAATATTAACATCATGGGTAGGTCATGTCTACAAAAAAGTAATCTTCGCAGTAATGGCGTAGGATTTTCAGCGGCTTCTGGGCAGAGTAGTGTAGCACTATACTCATACCGCATCATGGGCAACGAGTTCGGCAAGCAGGTCGTTTTCACAATCTAACCAATCCCTACCGTAGGTAGGACCATCAGCCGGTGAGATGGAAGTCGTCCCGGCACAAGCATTACGGGAAGAGTAAGGCAGGGATGGGTTTGCCAGTGAGGTCAGTCTGGGTAGATAATGTTCGGGGAAAGAGGTGTAAAACAAACGCGAAAGATAAGAAGAAAAGGGAGTAGGGGAGTGATGAGGATAGATAAAGTAGAAGATACTGAAAGAGTTAAGGTGTAAACATTAAAGATAATTAAAATGAAGAAAATGTATTTGAAAGTAACGTCATAGGACAGGATAAGTGTGAACCGTAAGAAAAAAGGCTGAACTGGGTGGAAAGAAGGGGGAAAGGAGAAAGTAGAAAAGAGGAACGTAGATAAATTAAGAGATACTAAAGAGAAGAGATGAGGGTGATAGGAAATAAAAGACTAGTCAACAGAAAAGTAATTTAGTGAATAACAAGAAATAATTGGGAAAGAAAGAGAGAAAATTAAAATTCCATTTGGCAGAATAATAAAAAATTGTGGAAAGAAAAGTAGAGAGAACAAATTGTACACAAAACAAAAAAGAAATATATATATATATATAAAAGTAATTTTTTTAAATACAACAACAAGAAATCCCTTAATCTTATTTTACATCTAGTACTGATTGATTAAACCAATCTTCCATGCCCCTTAGGGAAAGGTGTGGAAAAGAACCACACAGCTGCCATGGAGTGGTTCAAGAAGGCCTCGGACCAAGGCCACCCTCACGCCGCCTACAACCTGGCTGTGGGTCATCTTCAAGGCTACAAGATCGGTCTGAAGCCTGGGTGAGTGACTGCCTTGTGCAAATGCGATTGCTCTTGCTCGTTCAATAAATCTTTGTTGTGCTTTCCAGGATTTATTAGAGTGTAATTTTTGTCCGAGTTGATTAGGTTAGTAAACAGTAACTTCTTGACAAATCTAACCTTTAAAAATCTTGCAGTATCTTATCTATTGAAAAATTTCTGCCGCATCTAAGGCATTAACGGCTTCTTTAAAATATAGCGATAGTGTGGGGCTTGGGGGCGAAGCTCAAAGGTAGGGATTTTTTTTTTCACATGCGATTTTTGCGGATTTCCATATTGATTAATGGTCAAAACAAATAAATGTGCCAGGCATCAAAGGTTAATTAGTACCATGATAAAGTACTGTGGCGATAGGGTAAAAATGAGTTAACGATTAGTATAAATGGAGAGAAGGGGTTGAAGAAGAGAAGGAAATGGAAGGAAGAAATGGTTAATAGTTAGAAGAAATAAATGTGCTAGACATCAAAGGTCATATAGCACTATGATAAACTATTATGGCGAAAAGGTGGAAACGAGTTAACGAGCAGGATGATATATATATTAGATGTCAAAGGTTGTAAGACGCTGTAGGATAGATGAGTAGTGAAAAGGGTATAGAGGGGAAACAGACCAATGGAGAATTGGTGTGTGAGGAAGGGAGAGTAGCACTATGTGAGGAAAAAATGCAAAAGAGCCGTCATAAAACAACCACAGGGTATTGCGGGTAGAAATGGTAGTTGTAGAAGTAGGAGAATAACCCTGAGAATGAGATAGGGGAGCAGGGGAAAGTGGGGGAGTATCAGGAAGAATGTCAGGAGGGAGGGATCTGGAGGACATTGTTGTGACATAAGGGAGTAACGTTGAGCATCCAGGTGGGAGTGGTAAGGATAATGGGGAAGGAAGAGGTAATGGTAATGCACACGGAGGAGGAGAGGATGGGGAGTTTTTGGGGAGAGTGGGAGGAAGAGGGGTAAGGGGGATGGATATCAGCAAATACTTTGAATGTAGAGAGAATAGAAATAGAGGGATTGGAGGGTGGATGGGGGAGTGGAGAATTCTCATGGGTCATGTTTAGGAAGTTTTATTAGATGTCTTCAAGAGTTTCTGGAGGAGAGTGGAGTGGGAAAGTCTGAAAAACAAAGGTTTTCTTTCGTGGAGAAAAGGGAATAGATGACCAAGGAGCAGAGAGAGAGAGAGAGAGGTGGATGTGGGAGAGATTGCCTGGTGCGACAGGTAAAGTGAGGAGGGGAGGGTAGGCATCGGGGAAGGGGTAAATAATGAAGTACCTGGATTTAGTAGATTGGGAAAGGGAATTTGACTGGGGAAGAGTAGAGATACGATTGTGCAGGGAATAGGGAAAATATACCGGGGGATATGCCGAGACTTCTTGAGAAGATGGAAGGGGAGCGGAGCGAAGCGAAGCGAAGTACAGATTTGGAGTAGGTAGAAAGAGAAACCTTGTCGGCGTGCTTCTTGTCCGGTCTCACGTAGACTGAGGCCTAGTTTGAATCTGAGAACTGCTACCTCAGATTAGAGCTTGTATGCAAGGCAGATCCTATAAAATACATTGAGAGCCACCACAATTGGCACACGTGCGCGACTGAGCAGAGCAATTTCACCGCTCATAACCAGGTTGGGCACAGAAGGCAGCGGGCTGTGGATTTTTTTATTAAAAATCTTCTGCCTCGTCAACATCTAAGGTCATTAGTGGCGTATACAAAATACAGCAATAAGGTGCGGCTTGGGGTCGAAGCCTCTAGGCACGGATTTCCAAAATGGTTAATGGTCAAAATAAATGTGCCAGGCATTAAATGTCAAGCATTGTGGTAAAGTACGGTGGCGAAAAGGGTAAAAAATAAATTAACTATTAGGATAAGAGGACAGAAGGGGATAAAGAAAAGGAAAAGGAAAGAAAAGACCATGCAAAATTAGTCGAGGCGAGAGCCCAGGTCCAAGCCAGGGACGATCTACACTGGGCCTCAGTCCCCGCCTCAACTCCATGCCGAGCAAAGGATTGGGGAGGGGGAGGGGGGGTTAATCTTGAATTAACTTTTTATCCTTCACTTCAAAACTCTTGGAATAACCTCTCGTCTTAAATTCCAGAGATGCTCACGAGCTCATAAAGCAAGCTGCGGCAAAGGGAGTTCCAGAGGCGATAGACGTCTTGGATAAGGTGTGCTCTCGTGGGCACTGTGATGCGTGAAGTTACCGGATTCCAGTCAATCATTCTTTTCAGTTGTGTACATACAGCCAGTTGTCTAATTCTTATTTTACCTGCTGGCTGTTTGTAATTTACCCCACCTCTCCAGGAATTCAAGTAATAAAAGAAATTTCAGTACTGCAACAAGTTAACATAGTAGCAGTATAAGAATCAAGGTATGAAAAGTTTGATACTGGATTCACAACTATTGTGACTTAAGTTTGTTTGGTGTTAGTTATGGTATAAATTATCCACATCTATTCTTGCAAAGATGGCTAGTACAATAAATATCAAAACTATTAATGGTTTTACTACCTTTTATTTGGTGTCCCTATACCATCAATGTGGCAAAGAACAAAAATTACTTTTACTAACTTCACAAATACCCTGAAATTTATGTATTTCATGAATCAGAATTACTTTTCAATAGTCTAATTAAAGCCATTGTGCATCAATCAAGATTTCAAATGTAATTACTAAGTGACCAAGAATAACAACCTTATGTAAAAGGAGATAAAAACAAATTTACAAATTTCCATTTTTATGTAATTACATTATCCTTCTTATATGTAAAAAGTAGAAACATTTGCACATTTCATTTATACAATATTTCTCACTCGCATCCCAGCCTCTCACTCAACGGAGAGCACCAACCGGCAGCACAGAAAGGCATCTTGGAGCAATAAATGCACTTTTCACCTCCACTGTGATGCCAGACAGTCACACACAACTAGGTCTCTTTCCGAACTGGAAGGCGGACTCCCATCATAAGTAAACATTTGCAAAAACTTTAACAAAGAAAGTAGGCCAAGAGATCCTAGAGATGAACCGACTCTCCACTGTAAATATCAAACTTGTACAACGCCCCACAATGTGTGGGGTGGGGAGGTAGGGGGCCAGTGGGGGAAAATAAATTAAATCCACTTATACAGTGAAAATTCCAATAATAACAAAAAAAAAAGTAATACATTACTTTAAACATTTTGATGAGTTTCCACACAAACTGTGCTGCTTGAAATGATGCTCAAAATATCACAAATTTACCAACACTTCGACACTTAACATTGTTGGCATGCCTGTGTGGGGCTAATCTCTTCAAATTTGGTTGTTATAATTATTGGTCCTTGGACAATTATCTTAGAAGAGAAGCGTGCTCATTCCTCCCATGTCACTCTGTTCTTTGACGAAGATTTCGAAGTACTGATAAATGATCGTGACGGCCAAAAGAATACCTGAAATACAACACACAATTGCAATTATTTCTGAATATATAAAAAAAAATCAAACTACAAATGGATCATTTGGATTAAAATATATAAAAGTACTAATAATAAAAACATTAAAACAATAACATTTATAACAACTTCAGAACTTCTGTATATCAAACATCTCAACATGTATTTCTCTGCATTTTCATTAAGTTGCCCGACTCACCTGTGCCAGAGCCAATAGCGCCCAGGAAATCTGCCAATACAGAAAGAGCACCAATGCAGAGACCACCGAACGCAGCAGCAGTAGGAATGTAACGGTTAAGTTCGTGGATCATGGACTTCTCACGGTGGCCACGCATGACCATCTGCTGCTCCTTCAGCTGCTTGGCAACCTTTGTGCACAAAAATTTGCATAAGTATCTTCTACACCTTTATCAAATCAAAAGATGAGAAGGACATACTGAATCAGTATATAGAATGAAGAGACTGCAAAACAGGACAAAACTACCAAGTTTTGTTTCTTTATTCAAAATACTAAGTAATCTTTCCTTTTACCTCTTGTGACAAGTATATGCATTAAAGACATGCTTACACAATAAAACAAGAGATAAAAACAAAATTCTTGGGAGAAGTGGAACTTACATCCTTGGCTGACGATCCAGACACATCAATCCAGGTCTTGGAGAAGAAGGCACAGGAGCCCAACATGAAGGCAATGTAAATGATGGCATGGAAGGGATCTTCCAGAATGTGGCCAAAGGACTCTGGTGGCGACATGTAGTAACAAAGCCCACCAATTGGGTAGGATGTGCGTCCTGGGCCTCCTGATCCAACATCAGACCACGTTCCCAAAAGACCAACAAAGAAGTTGCCTGGGAATTTGTTTGCCAACATCTGTAGAGCAGAAAGAACAGCTATTAGAAAATCAGACTTTTGCAGTTTGCAAGAAAGGCAAATACTTAAGGATCTAGGCAGATACATGCTACACTTTCAGTTCATACTGACCTGAGCAATGATGTAAAGGTTGGAGACAAGAGCAGACTGGAGGATGATGGGAATGTTTGAAGTGTAGAACAGCTTGATGGGGTAAGAGGAATACTGGCCACGGTAACGGGCGGACTTGATGGGAAGGTCCACGCGGAAGCCCTGTGGGAAAATGGCATTGTTAGAACAGTCACTACAGGCAGAGATGAGAACTCAAGAACAGGTATATGCAAAAAAAAAAAAAAAAAATCCACAAAGTCTCCAACTTTACTTTGCAGGTTGCACTCTGGTGTAGAAATAAAAAGAACTTGTGCCCTTCATTCATATATTCTAAAAATTACCTGATCAATTATTTAACTTTCTGCACATCTAACTATTTTCATGTGAAACATGGCTTCCAAGGTTGAAAATAATGTGTGAAGATAGTCAATTCAACAATGTGTTTTAATGGTGACATTCCTACCTCTGAACTAAAAATAAAGTCACATCATAGATCAGTACTCCACACCATGTACTGTAGGAGGTAAGTGAACTTTCTGCAGTTTCTCATAATAAATTACCAAGCCATTTAAAACCTTGACTACTTGATTACGTTTTCTTTGGGGAGATGAGGTTTTTAAAATATTAATTTATCCATTGTCTACTGATAGTTAATCATACCTGGAAGTATATCACAATTGCAAAGATGAGAACAGTAGCCAGAAGATTGGTCAAGTTGGGGAGGTTCTGGCGGTAGAAAGCCTCACGGAGAGCTCGGACCTGTTGGAAATCAAACATGTTGTAACTAAAACCTTCAATATTCCATACTTAAATGAAATTTTATTTGAGATTCCAATATAAAAACCCAGTAACACAGCATGATGGCATACCTTGTCTTGCCTAGTGGCCAGCAAGTGGAAGAGAGCAATAATTGCACCCTCAAATTCTGTGCCACGTCCAGTGTTGACGGTGGCAGGGGAGAAGGCCTTCCAGACAATGGTCTCGCAAATGTTTGTGGCAATGAAGAGGGAGATACCAGAACCAAGACCATAGCCCTGAAAGGTTAAAAAAAATAATTTAATATCCAATACAAGATAAACATTTATGAAGTCAGTAATTATTCACATATATATTTTTTTCCAAGTTACAGGTGTCTCTAATCCATAATTTTAAAATCTACATGAAAGAGTCACCCACCTTCTGCAGGAGTTCATCAAGCAGCAACACAATGAGGCCAGCAACAAACAGCTGGATGATAATGAGGAGGCAGACACCAGCACCAAGGTCTGAGGGATCACCATACATGCCAGTCATTACGTAAAGAATTGCCTGGCCCACAGTGATCATCATACCAAAGAGCTTCTGTGCTCCGTTGAACAAAGCTCTGTCCTTGGGAGTGTCCCCAACCTAGAAAAGGAAAGAAAGAATTAGGATTCCCTATCGTCCTAGGAATTTTTGGCATGTGTGATTCTTCAAGAATGCTTCCCTTCAGGAAATCAAAATATGATTCTTGAGATTTAACAGAGCAGTCAAAGAAAGCACTCACCTCAATGAGCTTCGCACCAGCCAGGAGCTGCATGATAAGACTGGATGTGACAATGGGCGAGATACCCAGCTCCATGAGCGTGCCCCTGTTACTGGCCAAGATCACACGGATCCAGTAGAAAGGATCAGCCGAGTCCGAGCTCATGATGCCAAACAAAGGAATCTGCAAACAAAGGGGACACATTAATCTTCGTCACTGCAATTATGAAAAGCCTAGAATAGTGTATTACAACAAAGAAAAAAGGCCTAAAGCTGCATTAAAAAGTTAGTAACCCTAAAAGCTGGTTACAGCTTGAGATACACAACTGAGCCACTTTACCTATTCACTAATATACTCAAAATCATACATCCATTAAAAATAAAGTCAAAAGAAAACATGACATTACACAAGATGCCATGTAAATTGGACAAATTACGGTTGCTACAGCTATCCGAGAATCCTCATGTTACAAGTAAATGATACAATTGACTCGAAGTTGTACCTATCCTACATAAATGTTTCTGCATTTGTCATCCTGTGTGGCTAATGACCAATGAATAATTTCCTCCTTTTTTGCTATTTGCTTCCATATTGTCAGACCTTCCTCCTATGTCATGTAGATGACAATGTGACATGAAATTGAAGGATCTTTGGGAAATTCATTCACAACAAATGACAAACCATGAAAAGCAAAGCAGCAAGATTATTATATCAACTTTGTATTTCACTCATTTTAAGTGTATTTGTAAAGGGCAGGCCAAAACTAGAAACTCAAAAGGCTTAGCAGGTATCAGTCACAGGCACAAATTTCTTTGCAGGTAACTATTTGAGGGAGAAAGCAAATGCACATGTTCAGAGGTAATGTTCCTGATCCACCAATAACAAAAAGAAGACAGGAAATGGGAACACACACAAGATAACTCTCTCCAGCACAATTAATTTAAATATTTATAAGAAAAATTCCCTGAATAAATTCCATGTTTTTAGGAGTCCTAAATGCTTTACAATTCACATGAGAAGTCAAATACAAAGTGACAAATGAAAAAAAGACTTGGTAATCATAATCATATTATGGATACCTCACTGCCAAACTCCTCAATTCTCACTTGAGAAAGGTGGTCAGTAATAGCTACACCAATATCAGAATTCTACAAACTATCCATTTCTACATAAACTATGACGTAAAACGAGATATAGCAAAGAAGCTCTATATTCAAGAAGATAAAAGAGGATGGATAAATATAAAGAAGACACCTGCACATCCACCAAAAGGGCAAAACACTACACATGTTCTATAAACAGAACTTAATCACACTCCTAATGATTTCAGTCAAATGAGAAAAACTATTTTGCCAGAATAGACACAGAGGAGCTTGACTAGCCTTGCCCAGAGCACAAAGTACATGGGCCACACTGATGTCAGGGACATGTACGGTCTACTGTAGTTCCGTTTTGTAAGTTGTGCTTCATCAGATAATTCCAAAAGTGCAAGGAGTCAATAAGTAGGCCCTACATGACCACTTGATTTACCAATTCTTTGCTTTGGCGAAAATCCTTTTATCTATTAAAGTTAACAAAACTTACCATTACCAACATTAGGATTATTATAAGGTTACTAAAATACTAATAGCTATGTTAACAAAAATTCTTTCCAAAACTCAAGTAATGCTTTAAACTGGTGAGAACTACTTGGTGGTGCTCCTCTTGCAGAGCTATTTACATGTAAACAAAACTGAATTGCAATGGACACAGTACGTATGTGCACACCATCACAGCTTCAACAGGTTGACGTCCCATCATACTGGGAGTTCCTACTATGGGCCATCAAATACCAGATCATAGAATATTAAAAACAGATTTTGTTCAAGCATAGCCAACATACTTGGTATTTATGAGAGAAAGAGTCATTTTGAGAGAGAGAAAAAAAGTGCTCTCAACAATTACCAAAAACACATGTATTTATTACCATATGGACTGTATGAACCTCCATGGCTAAATTCCCTATCCACCTTTAATACCAAAAACCAATACCTCAGAACTGCAAGCTAAGGTTGGTCATCTGTTCATGCACATCATATGGTTCCTTTTCCCCAAGTACCCTATATCAAAACAAAACAAAAAAAAAAAAATATATATATATATATATAAAAATTCAGCACAAAAAACGGGAGAAAAAAGGCAAACTTACCTGGCAACAGACAAGGAAGATGAAGAGCGTGATGGCAGTCCATAGTACTTTCTCCCTAAACTGCACCTTCCGCTCGGGCTTCTGGATCTCCGGGAGGACCGCGCAGAACGGTTTTATCACCTCAAGGAACTTGACTGAAAGGGGGGGAGAGAGAGAGAGAGGGAAAATGGAGGTTAGCTGCTGTTGCTGTTCTTTGTGATGGGGGGAGGGGGGAGGGGGGAGGGGTAGGGCAGGAAATGCAGAAGAGAAGAGGAAATGGAAGAGAAAGTATGAGAAAGGGGAAAAGATGGAGGAGGAGGAAACAGCTAGAGAATGAGGTAGAGGAGGTGAGCAAGGACAACATGAATATGAGGAGAGGAGAGTAAAAGAATGAAGCTGAAGAAGAGAAATTGAAGAAGAGTAAATGAAGAAGAGGGAGAGGAAAAAGAAAATGAGAAGGGGAGAAAAGATTGTGGTGCAAGGGAAGGAGGGGGAGGGGGAGAAAATGAAAAGAACCAGAACAGATGGATTGGAGAAGAGATGATTAGAAAGGTCAAGAGGAAAATAGGGCACTAAATATGGAACAAAGACAAAGAAGAAAAAGAGAAAGTGAAGCCTGATCATTTGGGATCAGCAGAGAAGGCAAATGAAGAATAAAAGGGAGAAAAACAAAAGGGAAAAAAAAACAAAAGCACTACAGAAACCCCAAGAAAAATGCATATTCAGGAAATAAATAAAACCATAATTTTACAAATTCCACTTTCCTTGAGATATCGACATTAGAATGCCATGAATCTAGTTCTGTGGAATGCTTTAGATAATAAATAACGTGGATTTGGAACATTAAAACCGAAGAGAAAGTGGGGATTTCCCGAGACCAGACGGTGCACAGTACTGGGATATGTTCATGTTAAATAGGCCTTTTCTGTTACTTAAACACTATTTTCTTTATCTACGCCTTAACATAATGGCCTAAAGACACCGGAAAGGATATAAACATTATGAAATATGCGAATTTTGTGAGGAAATGAATGAGTAATTGATTTGCGAGATTTTGGCCTCTCTGGGATGATTTATCGGCCTTGTAACTAACCATCAGCAGTATTTCGTGTTCGTTAGCAGTCCGTGGACAGAAATGATGCGACTTCGGCTCATTTCCGAATAAATTGTCAGCGCCAGAAGAACAAGTTTCAAAATAGGTATCAGCCGACTCCATTCGAGGAAAAAAACAAGCCCGGATTACGGCTCAAATCAAGAAACTATAGGCCTTCCGCGGATCTGAGACACACCTAAAGACAAGTTAAAGGCCAATAACACAAAATGCCATTGATAAACTTACTCCCCATGGTGGCTGATGTTGACGGAAGGAGGGCCGAACACGATATAACGTCCACCGGTGATGCGGTCTCGCTTGACACTGAACGCGACGTGTCAGAGCTTCCCCCGCCCGCCGCGAGAGGGCCGCTGTGACGTCACCTCCGCACCGCCATCGTGACGCTTGTTGGTCCTGTGGTGCCGCTTCTCATGAGGTCGCGAATAAATATTTCCCAGATGATATTGATATTTCTTTCATTCATGCTGATGTATTTGTAATAATGTTTTATATTATATGAAGTTACTTTTCCTCTTCTTTTGTTGGTGTTTATTGCTCTTTGTAGGATCGTATATGAAGATATGGCACCATTGGAAAACCCGCCAATCAGCCGGGATTTAAAGGGCAAGATCAAACATCTGCCAACACTGCAATGTTGGATACGAGGATGAAAAATGCAATTACATACGTATACATAAATATTATATTTACAATAGAAGACAGACAGGCAGACAGGCAGGCAAACAGATGAGCACGAAAATGGAAAGAGAAAAAGGGGAGAGACATAGACAAACAAACATGCAGAACTATCTGTAAGGAGGAAGTGGGAAAAAGAGAAAGATAAAGGGAAAGGATAGAGAAAAAAAGAGAGAAAAAATTTAAGAACCTCTAGAAAGAAAAGATAGAAAGACGGGAGTGATGGAAAGGGGGGGAGGGGGGATAAATAGGGAGAGATGACAAACAGATAAGAGAAACATATGGGTGGAGGAAACAAGAAAAGGGAAAGGAAGCAAAGAGAAAATATAGACAGGTATATGAGACAGAGAGAAGAGAAAGGTGAAAGAAAGGAGGGAGAAAACGAAGACAAAAAGATAAGAGGGGTATATTGGTAGTAAGAAAAGGAAACTGGCAAAAGAAGGGAGAGAAAGAGAGAGAACTCAGAGATCAGTAATTTGCATGTTTGTCTGGCAGTTTTGTTTTTCTTATAAGAACCACCTAATGTAACATATAATTAAATTAATATTAGTAATGGGTCTTCATTCACACATACATTATATCTGATTATTTACTAATGTGTATTGATATTTTCAATGATCAAACTCCCTTAAGAAACGTTTTCAATCCATGTTATTTCTTTTATTTCTTTGTAGTCCACATATTGGCATTTGGCTGGATAATGAAGAGGACACCATATCCTTGGTTTTACGAAGATGGTTAATCTGTGCAGAAAGATTTGCTCTCCTTATGTATATTATTTACTGTTACTATAAAGAATTATTTTTTCTGTTGTGTTCATTGCAGCTATATTTTTTTATAATCTTGTAAAGATCTAATTAATTTAAAAAAAATAGTATGAAAGACCATTGAGAAATAAATATACATGTTTCAGAAGCAATTTGTAGATTCTTGTAACCTCTTGAGTTTCTGCACTGAAGAGGCATTATTGATTTTTTCCAGCTTTTATTAATCTAATATCTGTTTTATACATAACAGAATGTTTACCTCATTTTCCACCTTCTTTAAATACAAGGCAGTCAAGTATAACATGTATTTGTCTGATGTTTCATGGTAAAAAAAAAAATTACATATGCAGTAAATGACAACTGAATTCTAAGATTTAATAGTAATATATCAAATCCATAGTATATGTATTCACAATCTGAATAACACACTTGATTCTCACAATCTGTATAATACACTTCATTCTCACACTAACATTCTAGTAAGGATGGTAACCAGTGACACACTCCTGCCTCTCTATTGATCTCCATCCATAGGTCTCCTCAAACCATGGTCATCCTCAGGTGGTTCCTTATTCATTATTTAATACTGAAGTGTCTTTTCCTATACATTTTTCTAAGCTAACACTGTGTAAGATACTGTGAGGATGGAAATAAAAAAACAAAATATGAATACAGGTGAAGAAATATTAGACTCTAAAAATTCTTTCTTTGATTATAATTCTACATAATTCCATATAAGTATGTATGTCTCTACATCAGTATCATATGTAGCTTCATGAAGGTTGATGTACATATTCCACTTGGTAAATCATAAGGCATGGAAGGATAATACTTTAGTAAGTTTCTTGGTCTTTGGGAAGGAATATGACAAATAAAAATATTATACTCTTGTCACTTTATTTTGTTCTCACCCTACAAAAGAAAAAAAAAACTTACACAAAACACATTTTTTTTAAAGGTTCAACATAAATAACCAATGGTGAATCACATGACAGATGGCTCCAAGCCACTAAACTATAAATGTCTGGAATCCTTAGAAAGTACTTCCTTGAAAAAATACAAATTTAAGGCAGCTGGAATTATGAATGGGAAGCCTATAAGCATTTATGTTTTTTGTTATATATTATCCTTATATGTGTATATATATGCATGCAAGTTTCTTATCTTTCATCTCTTACAAAGAGACAGATCTTTCCCTTCACTCATCTTTATACTAACTATTGTCATGGCAGATATATAAGACACTGATAAACTGTGATTCTTAAGAAAGATAACAGTGTACCACCAAACAGAATTACACTTACCCTGAAAGCCCATGAGTTTCTTAAAGTATTTAAACATATTACAACCTTTCAGTTAAACAGTGATATGGATCACAATATATATGCTTGATTTTTTAAAAGAAACTCTGAATAGTTAATTTCACACCTTTCATCTTTACTTTATTATCTTAAATGCCATTAGCTGTCAAAAATTGCTGCCCTAAATTCAAGACTAACCCACACAAACAAAAAGCTAAAAATGTTGAGTGGCAAACAGTAAGTTCAACATCCTTTGGTCTTAAAAACTTTGAACATAATGTTTAGCAAAATTTGATCTCAATATCTATCTAATCTAAGATTTTCAAAACTCAAAACCCTTGTACAATGCCCCAATAGTTCTTTGGAAACATACCACAAAATAACATATTCATTATATAGTATATATAATGTTCTAATCACCACCAGCTGCCACAGCTAGAAACTGAAAATCGGTCACATGTTGCAAGTTAGGCAGCTTTCCCTCCAAGGTATGTGACATCTTTTCCAGTCTTTTTTAAGGTCTCAAGAAGCTCATCTGAGGAGAGTGTGCTGGTCACAATAACCTTTTTGGTTTCGAGGCTAATGTCAACATTGGAGACTTTATCTGAAAAGATAATTGAATCAATAAATATATGAAATATACTTTATATCATGAATAATATCCAATTTCAACCTACAAATCACTAAAAAAATGTATCCTTCCTAAAACAAAAATACAATTACAATAGTCCTTATTTTGGTCTCTTGTACTTCATACATTTCCTTTATGAAATGCAATCCATTAACCAAAGTGGACTTACCCCCAAGTTTTCCCAGGACCCTCTTCGCTGCACCTGAGCAACCTTCACAGGTCATCTCAACAGTGAATTCATGTATCTGAAATAAGATGAATAAGATGAAATAAGAAAAGGAAAAAAACACTCTTCTTATTAGAACCTTCCAAAGAATAAAATATTAATATACTAGCCACTTTGCAGAACAGTAAAAATATACATCTATCAACCTCACATGTATTATAAAAAGGAGTAAAATGGACTAAGACTATCATTACACAAAAAAGGATAAGAAGGTACAATCTCCCAATAATATTAGAAGCTAAATACTTACATCTGCAAATATCCTCTCTAAAAAAATCTGGTCCTACTTTCAAGGTTTGCACAATGTAAATCAAGTTTGTGGTTTAGTAAGAGATGACCAAGTAATACCAACAATATAACAAACTAATAAAGTTTACCAAAGTCTACTATGAGTTTACCATTACACCAACCAAAAGGCCTTTTTCCTTTATTTACAATATCAAAGTCAAATATAACTGAAATTTCTTTTGCATACTGTGGACTGCTGAAAATATATAGTGGTAGTGATTGAAAGGAAAACAATATTATTTCTATATATGAGTTTCTCTATTAATAGAGGCTGCAAGTGCTTTCTGAAAATAGATGTTCAAGCATGTGTCATGAAAAGATACTAACAATATCAGTATTAACAGGACTTGTAATCTTTATCTTAGGGTTTTCACACTTAAAATAAGTTTAGTGACAATTGTGGCCCTAACTGTTAGAATGGAATTGTAGCAGGCATACTGAAGGGTAAAACATAATCTAGAAATATAAACAATTTAATAAAAAGGCAACAAAATTGTGCAATCAGAATTTGTAAAGTATCCAGAGAGACTCCCTGATCCTACCATCCCATGGCAGAAAGCAGAAATTGAAAATCATGAACTAAAACCTCCCTTGACCACTGACAACCCTAAGCCAGCATTCCAGCTTAAAGTGGGGGACTGACCACATATATGCATCAGAAGAGGTGTACAATAAATGAATAAATAAATAAATCATTATACATATAGTTAATCTCCAACACCCTTGCTGGCAAATATTCATCTTGAAATGCTTGTGAAAAGAAGACATAGGTGGCCATCTGTCAACCAAGCAGGAGATAAGAAGCACTGTAGACTATGCAGGGAACAGAGCCTCTTGCTACAGCATAGATAAATATGTTTGAGATATATTTAATCATCTTCAGCAGTTTCTGATATTGATGTTGTTTACTTAGCAATTTGCCTTGTACAATCTATACATTTCCCTTCTAATAGGAGTGCCATACTGAGCCACTCACTGGGGCTTACAGACTGTCAACTGCTTGAGTGAGAAATTCATAGCATACTTTTGCCCTTCTCTACAGACTCTTGGCGGTGGCAGAGAGGATATTTTTAGGAATTGAGAGGCTGTATCTTTTCAATGAATGGAGCTAGTGCCATTCAAGTGAATTGCAGTTTAATACACACAAATCAGAGTATGATCGACTGTTTATAAAGCGATTGGATGTCAGCATTGTGAGGGTCAGATTTTGATTAAATGATTTGACACAAACTGTCATGTGTGGATTATGTCATCTCCCATCTTACTACAAGTGAACAGCTACAACTGAACACCACTTAGCAATCCAAGTCAAATGTACTGATGATAATATCAGTATAGAATTACTTGCAAAAACAAGACATATGACATAGTCTGTTAAATAATTTCATAAATCAATGTCACTTGCTCTGAAATAGTACTTAGCACCAACGTTCACAACAGACTGAGTGTCATATCCAGTATAGTGTCAAGCAGTCGTTGAGGTGTCTGTCTCTTCAGCACTCGACTGGATTCTCTAGGGTGACTTAAAAGCTTTTTTTATCTGGACAGCAAATATCACAAGCAATTCATCATAACCAAAAATGATCACTGTAAGGGCCACAGATTTTAAAATATATATGAATAAACAAGTAAATATATGAAAATATGACTATATCATACAACAAAAATACAGATATGGAATAAATGACGATATAATGAAACTGATTCAGTGAGATCCACATATGAATCTCCTAAATAGAAAAAAACAAGAAAATATACATGTAAGTGTGTAAATATACATATACACACACACACATACACATGTGTACGCATAGTCGTAAAATCTCATAAAACATAAAACATCTAATCAATCTTATCAACTACAGCAACATATACATCAGATTTAACATAGCATATCAGTCATATAATTCTCTTACAAAAAATAAGGATTAAGTCTTAATACTAACCATGAGAGACATTGTTAAACGCAAAGCCGCCGTGAAGCTCCCTGATAAGCGCTATCTTGACACAGACTCGCGTTTGGGTGCTCTTTACGGGACTCCGACGTTCGAGTAGGATTAATATATATATATTTTTTTTATATCAATTTTCAGTGTCGATGAAGAGGGTTATTCTCTATTTGCGTTAATGTCTCAATGTTCAGATTTGATATAGGATTGATGAACTTTTTTTTTTTTTAGTAATCGGATTGGTTTATCGAATTGGATAACTTATTTTCTTTCGTTGCTCAACGTGATATTATATTTGATAAAAATATTAATTTATCTCTTCCAAATTTATCAAGATAAAAAAATTGAGGCTTTGACACTGCCTTGCCATCCAAGAAATCTTTACATCAACTCGAATGCACTCCAAACGACGCATGCGCAGAGAGAGGCTGTGACGTCACGAGAGTTGTAAACAAAACGTCAGGGAGAAACAGAGGTGAGGCCACCTAATTGATCTCTGTGCCATCCGTTAGTCTCAATTTCCACGTTTCATTGTCTCTGTTATGATTATGAATACCATAGCATCCTTCCTGTGTTGGTTTTTGGGTAATTTCTTGCGGGAAAAGTCTCTATATCGAGGAATATTATCTTGGGGCATGTTCATATCTTACGACCAATTTTTAGTCGGCACTTTCAGGTTTTTCGGTTTAATACTGTCATTAAAAGTTGTGTTTGGTCTTCATGTAATCGTACGAATATAGGGGAAGTGCTGGGGCACTTTTAGAGAATATCGCTTTCCTCACTCTGCTCTCAAGAAGTCAAGCCACCTATTTAGCATCTCTAATCAAATGGCTTCTTTTTTCATACTTGTAAAAGTGTTATCAAATTCTCAGATGACTATAGAATAATGACAGAATATTGGCATCACAGAAAACATTCCACATTCTGCAGTGGTAGCTTGTGATTATTGCAAATGATTCTGATTGCATCGCTGTTAATACTTTAGCGGAATTATAGCAATATTGCTGCATTTGGAACTCCTTGTCTTGCTTGTCCAGACAACTTGTCAGGACAAGCAGAACGATGAGGTAGTGTATGGAACCTCCAAGACTTCAATGCCCACAATGCAACGTACTCGAAAGTAAACATTCACTATTTTATTATACCAGTATCTTTATTTTATATGCTGCATAGGTTCTGTACTACTGTGATGCATAGGTAACTTACCTGCAACTGATAAACTCGAAAATACCCTTTGATAACAACAAGAAACTTACCAATGAACATCTTATGATTGCCTGCAACTGCCATGGTTTACATACAAATGCTATTGTGATGTCATCTTGTCCTGCTTACCTGCTGCAAAAGAAAGCGAGATGAAAGAGATGAACAACTTGTCAGACAAAGAGTTCCAAATGCAGCATAAGTCCCTTTTGAACTGCCAGAACTTATTTTGAATTACATGTAAAGATGCATATCTCAAAATTTTTATGACTGGTTTTGAATTGTGTTAGTTATTTTTGTTCCATTTAGCCTGTTATCTATCTTGCAACAGTAGACTTCAATCAGAGTCTTAAGGGTACGCTCACCACCTTACATAAAAATATTCGTAAAAAAAAAAGTTTTTGGTCTTTCAACATGAAACTTTCAGGTTTTGCTTAAAATATAGATAGAAATATATTGTAAACCCGAGAACTTCCTACGTCCCGACGTTATAAAGTTATAACGTAATAGAATATTTTATACGTTATCAAATACGTACGTCGTATTTTTTGTACTACAAACTTCTGCTTTTGCATGGTAATACTTAAAAATCTTATGAACACTTAGACACCTGCTTTTTTAAAAATTCCCTCTACGACGCATAGCGTAATTTTCGTAACGTAAGGTACGTAACGACGCACCCTATTTCTCCACTTAAATAGTAACTGTCACTCTGTTTTTTAAGATATCGGAAAAAAGAGCCACAGAAATAAAGATATATCTATTATACACTACCAGAAGCATTTTCAGGCTTCTACAATTGATTATAAAATTTTGGCATATTTTTTTATGTGGAAATATGTGGTTTTGAGATATTAGCGTATAAAGGTTTCAGTAATGTACAACTCTTCATTTATTGTGCGATTTTTTATTATGTTCACACAAATTATTATACAAGGTATATAAAACAAGCGGACAGAAATATATTTAATTATATACATATTTACTGTATATATTATTTTTTTTTTAAATGATGGTGCGCTTTTACCGGTTATAAAACCTCACTGCTGGGGTTTATTTTTACCAGCAATGAGCGCCTTCCCTCTTCTCAATGACATTTTTGACCCACATGTGCACCGGGCAATTGCTCTAACCCACTCCAACATATTTTCCAGGTCAACTAACAAAAATTCTCTGTCTCCACTCGTGGCACTGTTATCTGTTATAGTTGCACTATTTTCCAGCTTTTCTTTAGATTTAGTATGAGTCACTTTGTAAGATGTTGTCTCTGAAGGTGGTGATGGTGGTGGTGATGATGGTGGAAGCAGCGTTGGTGGTGGAGAAGGAGGTGGTGGGGGTGAGGGAGGTGGTGACACATCAGCTGGTGGCGAGTCACGTGTTTGTATCCTCGCGCGCTCTTCCCTCCTTCTCCTACAACTTTCTTGCCACTTCTGGTTCAGTTTCTTCATTCTTTCTTTTGTTTTCCTCTTCATCTTCAGCAGTTGATGTCTGAACAGCAGTTAGGAGTAGTATAAATCCTCCCAATGGCAGGAGTGTGAAGTAAACACGACACAAAGGCAGTAGTATGTCTCTGCTTATTGCTAAGTAACTGACGCTCTCAAACTTTCGTGCCTCGCCACCCTCGCGATCCCTCACCCCCGCATAGTTGCCAGGCACTCAAATATGTAACCCACAGGGAATATAACACGCGAAAAATAGCTATGTTTACATGTGTATAGGGAGGAATCTGGCGTGCGCCCTTTAATTGGATACGCCCCTCGGTCCCTTTAACTCGCTCCACATCCCGTCGACTGCGCGCAAAAAATATATCTTGCCAATATTTTGTTTCTAGGATAGTTATATTATTCAAATATGCCAATATCTAAATTTCGATTTTTTTACGAAAATTTCATGATTAAGGTGGTGAGCTGCGCCTTAACCATGAAATAAGTTCAGTTTTAACCCATTCACGCCGGGTGTCACGTATAGGTGACGGGCCCAATTTGAGTTTACTTGTTTGATTGTTTACAAACATAGATGGCTCCACTTGCACTTGTACTGCCTGTCTCGTCTGTTTACCCTTTTCTTTAATTTACAAAATTATTTTGCGTTATCTTATTTTCCTGTTACTAATGTTTATAACATTAGAGTAATTATAATGTTTATAATAAAAATAACCATCGATATTCATAGCACTAGTGAAAATACATTTTCCCGCCAAATGAAATCCGGTAAAGCAGAGCCATCTAGTGTAAAGAAATTTCATTAAAAAAATATAAAAAATTAACACAGCATTTCCCCCATTTTTTGTTCATTTTTACCCGGCGCGAATGGGTTAAGGGTTAGGTGCTTTCCTCTTCTTCAAGTGATACCAAATAACCTTGGCAAAGTGTAGAAATTTATGTTTTTTCTGATGTTTAACTTTTTGACTTTTTTGTGATAAGACTGTACTTGAAAAATACAAATGTATGTACTTAATTTTTGGATTGTATATTGCAAAATGAAAATGTTGTTAACATTAGGATGAAATGCTTTTTCAGTTCCAGGATGGGGGACAGTGATGAAGAGGAGGCAAATGAAGGGGGAGCAGCCATCAGTCAGACCCTGTCCCTCACTAGCTTCCTCTTCGGTAACATTGACGCACATGGACAGTTGGAGGGAGATGTCTTTGATGGAGAATGTAAACGTCAGCTGGCCTCCCTGTCACGCTTAGGCTTAGGGTCACTGTTGCGGCAGGTGACAGATGACGGGGA